AAATGCACTGGGGCTGCACTAACTGAAGGGCAGTGGGCTGCCTTGCTGCTGTGGAGATATACCCAGTTATCCCAGGGTAAATCAGGACTATTTGTTACAAGAGGCACAGCTAGAAATTACAAGTCCAGATCCATGATGGAATTTTTCTCTTTGCATGATTCATGTACATACCTTGAAATGCCCTAAAATATAAACCAGAGAGTCCCTGCTAGTGAAAGCCTGAAAAATGTGGTGCCATGGGGCTGGGCAGGAGGTTGATGTTGGTTGACATTGGGTTCATCTTTAGTTCAGATTGAAAGTGAAGAGGGGTTTCTTGAACTCACTGAGCACTTGTTCTACAAAAAGTTAAACCATGAGAAACTTCTTTGAAATGGTGAAAAATATATGAAGAGAATATTTAGAGAGGCTCTGGAGAGATTTCTGTTTTGGAAAGCACAAAGTGGTGTAGGTGGGGAAGGAAAGATGACAACAGCAAAAAAACCTGAGAGCATCACTAATGCTGAAATCTGGGTAATTTAGAACAAATACTCATCTTACCCTACCAAGATTGGTCTCTGCCTTGCTCCAGAGTTGGTGGATAGAGAGATTCTCCCCAGAGGTGTTTCAGAGCACTAAACTTCAGCAGTGCCTGCTCTAGAGCACTCTTGGGTGTGGGAAGGAGAATGAGGACACTGGTCCTCTCCAGTCAAAATTCCTGAGCCCCTACCTCTCCCCTACCTGTAACACAAGGAAAGGAAAGGAGACAGCTGTGTGATTCAGTGGTTAGCTGCTTTCCCAAAAAACTTGGCAGTGATGGGAACTTGAGGAAATGGAAATTTAAAACACTGTGGCATGGGCAGCTGTTGTGCCCAGGAGAATCCAAATCTGCAGGGGAGAGGAGGTGCCATGGCCCCGGGTCTGTGCAGAGGGTATGGCATGGTGAAGTTACATTGCTGCTTGCTGGTTCAGGGGAGGATTTACAGCAGCCCAGGCCATTCTCCTCAAGTATGTGGCTGGTGTCTGCTGGATTTAAGGAATCCTATTTCCACAGGTGATGAAGAAGAGCTGCATGCTTACCCAGACCAATACTGTACTCCTGTTTTGTCTTTATGGAAATGTATAGTGGAGGAAAGAGACTCCTTTTTGCTTTGCCTCATGCCATATCCCTACCATGGAGCCTGGGGCGAGAAAAGAGCAGTCAGGAGCAGACTCTGCTGTTAGCTGGGGTTTGAATGATTACCAGTGTTTGTGAAAGAGGCAGAGGGGGCTTCACTTCTATCTCATTGCCCTTCAGTGAACTGGCTGCTGGATAAAACCAGGAGCATGAGTCCCATATCTTCTTGGTGGGTCTTGTGGTCTCTTCCACAGTGATGATTCATTTGGTCCTTCTTTTTAAGAGGTGGTTTTCCCTTGGGCCATGCAAGAGCATGAAGGAGAGCCTGAGACTGTATTTCCACCATTTCCTTGCTACATAAGAAGTGCATCGTGATGTACATCCCTGTTCTTAACTTCACCAGCTAGTTTCAGGGATCAATTTAACATACATTGAATGAATGTAGTGAGAGACAGTACTAAATGTACCAGCAGGGAGTGAAATGCAGATGTAAACTGGTGAAATTTCCCCAAAGGCTTTTCTAGGAATTGATGCAGGGAAGTAGGAGTCAGCATGCAACAGACTTTCTTCTATCCAGTTCATCTTTCTCCCTCAAGGTCCTTCCCTGACTACAAGGCAACTGGATACAATTGCAGACATGAGTTCTGGTGCATCCCTGCAACAATTCCGTCCTAGAGTTAGGGGTGTCCTTACTACTTCTGCTTAGGCATAAAAGGAGAGCAAATCCCAAGGCTCTTTAAGGCATTCCTTAAAGTCACAATGTCTGCTCAGATTACAGCTCATGTTTCAGGAGAGCCTGAGTTGCATATCTGAGCCAAAGTTGAGGAGGATCCTTAGCTTACAGGATCAGAGCAGAAGGAAATCACCACCTTTGAAATCAGGGGTTGGTACTTAAGGACTCTGCTTGTTTTCCCATTTGTGCTAGAAGTCTTCCTTGACTTTAGCAGTGTGGCATCCCTTCAGTTAGCTCATGGAAAGATAAATCATTGAGTATTCAGAGGGGAAGGTTTTAATGAAGAAGTTTGAACTGCTTTAAGAATTGCTAAAAAAAATATTAATAAATAAATTGCAGAACTATTACAAGTAACAGATGATTCCCAGAGTGTTTCCAGGGCTGAGCTTGCTCCCATGCTGACTTTAGCTGCACTCTTGTGGTTTATCTTCAGAGCAATTTCCCTGAGAAAATAATTGCAGTGCCTTTACTCTAGGGCCATGCCTGTCCCAGATGAACTAGGCCTTTTTTAGCACATCAGTATTCATTGTCTGTGTGAATTAAGTACTGTGCTAAATGATGGAAACTCTGCCATGCCAGTCCACATCAATGGTTGCCTCAGCCTTCCCCACCCAAGTCTCTGATTTTTTCCTGAACAATGAGATGTGAATCTGGAGACAGAAATGTTCAGTGGAGCATAGAATGAGGGGAAAGCAAGAATGGGAAAAAATGTGTGTGTGGGTGCAAGCATGTGTCCAAAGCCATGTCAATGGCATGGCCTCTCTCAGGGGGCAGGGCATGACTCTGGAGAATACGAGGTAAAAGGAGCTATTGCTGCTGACCATCACTGCCAGTAGGAGTATGCTCCCAGCACGTCGATGCTTTGGCTCATGAGGCAGTGTTGGGAGCAGTCACACAAGTATGAGTGCTTGGGTGTGGGGGAGCAGGAGAAGGACATGCCCCTGCAGATGAGCCACCTAGCAACTCAGCATGGAGTGGAATGAAAAGCACTTCTAGCATTTGGCTCTACCAAGAAGGGCCAAACTTCCCACCACAGCAGTCACAGGGGCCGCACAGGACGAAGGGCTGTAGGTTTGCAGCAGCACCTGAAAAGAGCAGGCTAGATGCAGCAGGGGAGCTTGTGGGGAGGCTTCACCTTAGCTGCCAAACTGACCTGTCATGCTCTAACTCTGTGTTGCTCTGAGCAAGGATTTGAACCCTCACATGTCAGGGCATCAACCAAAGAGGAAACTGTGGGTGCAGCCTGTGCCACAGCTGCTGATTGCTCAGGTTGTGGCTAGCAGCCACAGAGGCCACCAGTGTGGCTCCCATCTATTTCAGGGAAGCCCTGCATTGCTATCTGAGCTCACATAGGTACAGCTCCAAGTCACCTACTTGAGCTGGGTCATCATCCAGTTGAGATATTCTCCCTTCTGCCCCTGCATTAACTGTAGGGCAGAAACGAGCCTTTATTCTTGTTCCTTTTCTGTCATCTTTCCCATGGTGACTCCTGGGTTGGAACTACAGCCTGCCTCTCACTTCTAGATGGTCTTCCAACCCTGGATCAGCCCAGCCCTACTTGGCTTTGGAAAGCAAGCAAAACCTCAGCACGACTCACATAAGCTCAACTCCATGGTGCTTCTTCTATCTGATCAGCAGTATTTGATAAGTGTTGAGGGCAGGTTCAGCTGGGGTGAAGAGCATATGTTGTTCTCCTAAAAAGTAATTTGGGTTTTTTTGGGAGATATAAATAGCTGACTTTATTGTGCTGGTCATGCATGCTAGTGTTGGCATGAGTGCGTAACGTCGAACTGTGAAGTGGTGATGACTCGTGTGTTCTGGTTTCTTTATAGAACTTTGCATGCTATGCCTGATATGGATTTTTTTTCTGTCACTTGATCGCTACAAAGATGCATTCATCAAATGCAATTAGTGCCATATAAGCCAGTCAACAGGGAAGGTCCTTCTAGACAGTCTGTACACTCTGTTACACTGAGTCTATCTGCAGTAGGGGAAAATAGAACTTACACAGCAGAAAGCAGCAAGAGCCACTGAACTTCTTTATGCCCTCCCTCCCAAATCACTTATTGGTCTGTGCAATGCCATCCCATGCCATTGGAGACTGGTTAGTCAGGGATGGAAATTCATTTCCATTGATGTGTGGAAAGAGAGGAGCAAGCAAAATACCTGAAGTTCATACAGACATTACAGGCTTTATTTTCTCTGCTTCCCTTGTTGCAGAAAGATTTCAAGCCAAAAAAGTGACAGAAAGCAGTTGTGTACTTTATAGAGAGTACTTGGTAGGTGGATACATCCCAGTTCTCAGTCTAGTTCTTGTTCACAGCTCTCTGTACACACAGAGAGGCACATCACTGGGCACATTGCCTGAAAGCTCAAATGTTACTCCTTAACCTAGATATAGTGGTCCCAATGTCTTGGCAATTTATGCTGGTCAGCATATTCAATGTGCCTTCGAGTCTCTGCTTTGAGAAAGGTGGAGGTTTGGCGAGGGTGTTGAGCATACACCTCTCCTTTATATGAGTATGAATTTGGGGAAAGGCCAAGAGGTGCATCTTCAGTTTGCATGCATAGCATGGATAGTACCTACAGAGTTAGCTCTGTAAGTGGAAGATAAGTATTTACACGAAAAGGAAGCTGTCTCCAGATATTGTCCCAGTTTCCGTGTGAGACCGATCAGCCCTGTGGAGCCTGTGCACTGGAGGGTCTCTGGGGAGCTCTGGCACATAGGGTATTCCCTGTCCTATCCCCATCCCAGGTGCTGGGGCATCCTTGTACAAATGTTTCCCCTTCTCTGACTCCACTTTCACATCTGTGCTGTGAAGAGAACAGCACACAGCAGCTCTGTAAAGCTCGCTGAGATCACAGAGTGAAGGATACTGTATAATTGCAAAGTATCATTATTCTTGTAGGATGAAAGGTGCTCTATGAATTCCAGAGACCCAACTATGATTCTATCAGTTTCCAGCTTTTTATCACAGGAATTCCTCCAGCAGCCTCAGAGGCTGCATGTCCCAGTGGTCTTTGTGGCACAAAGGGCAACCTCAGCCAACGCAAGGGTTTGTGCCTCAGCCTGGCTGCCTGCCCAGCGTAAGGCTGCGTGGGATGTGAGCTCAGGCTGCCTGCACTGAGTCTCCTGCTGCTTGTCCTGACCCCCTCTGCTTGTCTGCTTTGCAGGAACGCTGGCTGACAGGGTACCTTGCATGGAGAAAGGAAGCAGAGCAAACCACGTCACTCCACCAACTGACACCAGCTGGTCAGCTCACCACCCCCTCTGGCTGAAAGTCCAGCAAAGAAAGCAGCTTCCTGTCATGAAGCCCCTCCGAGGAAGCCTCGGTCCCACGGGTGCCTTTGACCCAGAAGACAG